CCGTCGCCAGCACGGTGGCCGGCGCGGTGGAGTCGCTGCCCATCGTGGCGGCCACCAAGGTGGCGTCCACCTCTGCCGAGCCCGCGGCGGCGCCGTTCTTGGCGGCGCCGTTTGCGGGCGGCGGCGCCGTGGCCGCCTTGACTGCCTCCTTGGTCCCCTCCACGTACACCTGCACCACCACCGCCGCATCCATGCCCGCCACCTCCATCACCTTTTGCTGAACAAACACCTGCGGCGGGGCCATGAGGGGGGGGGGGGGGGGAAGCCAGGGCGCACACACATACACACGTCACGCTCGGCGGAGCAGCCGGCAAGAGCGCAGGGCGGCGGTTGCGTGTGGCATGCGTTCGGACATGGCGGCAAGCAGGCCGACTGGCTGCTTGGCGTGCTGTGCGGAGCCCCCGTGGCGCCACATGCTGTTCGCTTGCGCTGTGGGGCCACAGCACTCCCCCACCCACCCCACCCCACCCCACTCACCAGCTGGCGGTCCTCCTTGAAGGGCCACACACCCTTGATGTTCTTCTTCAGCAGCTCCTGCGCCGTCTGCTGCGCCACGGCCTCCAGGTCGCGCTGGGTCACCTCTGCAGGCAGGGCAGCGGAGGGCAGCCCCACAGGCAAGAGCACGGTGACAAGCCGCAGACGAGCGCATCAGGCATGCTGCCGCCAAACCTGGCTGGCCGGCTGGCAGGGGGTCTGCGCTGGCTGCCTCTGCTGCCAGCTGCCTCCACTCTCCCCGGGCCGCCGCACAACGGCAGACCCAGGCCAACCAGCGCCACCCACCCACCCGTCTCGCGGCCGCGCAGCTTGACGGCGGTGCGGCGCGCGGCCTCCGCCGCGCTGGTCAGCTCCAGCATCAGGTGACTGCTCTCGTCGCTGGCGCTCTTGTAGATCGCCTGCAGCTGCTCCTTCTCCTGCTGCGCCGCGCGGCTGGACAGCTCAGCAAGGTCGTGCTGGTGCAGCAGGTCCTCGGCCTCGCGGCACCGCTGCAGCAGAACGCGAGCCTCCATGCCGTGGGGCCCCCCCTCCTCGGCGATGGCGGTGGCCAGGCTGTTGAGGCACTTGAGGTGCAGCGCCAGGGTGCGGTCCTGCGGAAGGTCGCTCAGCTGCACAAACTGCTGCACACGGCCGACCCACCTGTGGGGGGGAGAGGGAGGGCGCGGCGGCAGCACGGGGCAGGGGCTCGTTGCATGGGCATTCACGCGCAAAAGAGGCGGTGCCGGCTGTGTGGAGGGCTAGCGGTAAAGCCTGCTGCACAGAGTCCGGTACGCAGCTGCGGCAAAAGCACTGGCCTGCGGCCCTGCCCGGCCAAGCCAGGCGGGCGGGCGCCCCTCACTCACTCTGGCAGCTTGGGCACATAGGCGGGCTCCTCCTCTGGAAGCGGCGGCAGCTCCTCCTTGGCTTTCTTCTTCTTGGCCTTGGCGGGGACCTTCCTGCCGGCAACCACCTTGCCCTGCGGGGTGGCACGGCAGGCGGCAGGCGCGTTAGCCACGGCAGGCGCCGAACGAGCGGTGCCGCGGCTCTGGGAGGCAGCCCCAGGGCCGGGCACGCCACCGACGGAGGCAGCGGCAGCCGGCAGCAGGCACCGAGCGGGGTGCAGAGGGGTGAGGAGCACCGCCGGCCCCACCTTGGCCTTGGCGGCACTGGGCGCGTCTGCGCTGTCGCGCGCTGCCAGCTTGTCGGCGCCCTTTGCGTCCACCGCCGCGTCAACCGCCTCCTCCTCCTCCTCCTCCTCGTCTTCATCCTCCTCCCACAGGTCGCCGCGGGCCAGCGCCGCGGAGCGCGCCTGCACCAGCGCCGCCGCCTGCGCCTCGCGCCGCCGCCGCTCAAAGTGGTTGATCACCGGCTGGAAGTCGAGGAAGAAGTCGCCATTGTTGTGCTGTCTGCGTGGGGGGAGGAAGAAAGGAGGCCGACAAGCGTTCAGGGAAGGGTGGCGCAGCGGGGGTGGCATGGAGGGAGCGTGGCGGGGCAGGTGGGGGGCACCTGGAGTTTGAGGCAGGCTGGCACAGAACGGCAGCAGAGAGCAGTGTTCGTAGAAGCAAGGCGTGCAGCTGCTGCCCCGCAAGGCCCCGCCCCACTCACCCCGCCTTGATCCACTCCGGCTGCCCTCCGTCGGTCCGCTTCAGCACAGCCTTGATGCCGCCCCGCAGCTCCAGGGAGCCTGCAGGGCAGGCGAGTGGGCAGGGAAGCTGGCGCACGTCTGCAAACTGCTTGCCTGGCAGCCCAGCTGCGGCCGGGCAGCGATGCCCCCTGCGGTGCACCCTGCCTCCCCGCCTGCTGCTCCTCCTGCCTGCCACCATTGCACCCTCCAGCGCCGGGGCCCTGCCTCCCCCACCCATCCCGTACCATCGCGCCCACCTTCCAGCGGGACCTGCAGTACCACCGAGTAGGCGGCAGAGTCGATGACAGGCTCTCCCTGCATCACCGGCGCAAAGGCACCCAGCACAGTCTCCCAGGCCAGGCTGCCGGCGGGCTGCAGGGGAAGGCAGGCGGGGGTGGGGCAGAGAGGGTCAGGGCAGGCCGGCAGGGTGGAATCTGGCACCGCTTGGATGCAGGCACAGCAGGGGTGGGCTCGGCAAGGTTGGTGTTGCTGGTGCCGGCCGCCGGGCCCCACGTGCCGGCCGCGCCGGCTCACCGTGCTGACGCCCGGCGAGGTGTGCCATCCCTTTGGCGGCTGCGACCAGCCCGCGTGCGCGCCCTCGGTGCAGCCCCAGTGCAGCAGCAGGCTGCGCAGGTTGTCAAAGAGGAAGGGGTTGGCAATGCCCAGAGCCACCACCGCATACTTGGCGCCCTCCACCTCGGCCGCCGCCAGCTGGTACATCATGCGCCCGCCGGGGATGGACGACAGCGGCAGGTCGCGAGGCGCGTACACCTGCGGGCCGACGCCCGCGGCGGCAGCACAGCAGGGTTTGGGCACAGGCATGGGGATGCTGTCGCGCTCTGGAGGGCCCACCACCCCCCAGACAGCGCCACCAACCCTCAGCAGGGCCTGTGCAGTAACCCGCAGCCGTGCCTCGCCTTCCAGTCGTTGGATGCCACCAGGTTGTGGTTGACGCGGTAGTGCTCCAGCCGCTCCGACACGTGGCGCTCCAGCAGGGCGGCGGTGGCGCCCTCCTCGCCGCCCGCCGCCGCCGTCACGTCCTCCCGCAGCTGCTTGATGGTGCTGTTGGCCTCCTGCTGCAGCCTGGTCAGCCGCGCGTGCGCCTCCTGCCACACACGCTCCGCGTCCGCCGCCGGGTCCTTGGCCCGCTCCGCCGTGGTCTTGGCCTGCTCCAGCAGCGGCAGCTTGGACTGGGCCGACGCCACCGCCTCGGACGCCGCCGTGCGCAGCTCCTCAAAGCTGGCGGTGGCCAGCACGGGCGTGCAGCCGTGCGGCCTGCTGCGGGGCCGCCTGGGGCTTGGGGCCAGCCGCAGGGGGCCGCCGAAGGCCCGGGTGATTACTGGGTGGGCCATGGCTGGAGCAGCCGCAGAGCTCACTGCGGGCACTGGCATGTGATCGAGCCCCCTCGCCAGCCAGAACAGACGCGGGTTTACCGGGCAGCCAAGTGAAATTGAGATTTGGGGAGTGGTCCAGAAAGGCAGCAGCGTGTGCCAGCCGCTTGGGGCAATGCACACAACAAGCTGGAGCCCTGAAATGCCTGTCAGAGCAGCAGGGCCACATGTGGCCACGACGCCCGTACTGCCGCCACCCCGCCGTCCTGCACTGCATTGGCCATGCGTTGGCCATGCGCACGGCTTTCGTGGCAATCCCCTGGGACGCACAAGAGCCATGGGCGCGTTTGGGCATGCTGGGAGCGCAGCCTGACGTCCATGTGTCGCACGGCGCTCGAGGAGTTGTTGTGTTGACCGCACTTGCAAGCATAGATGCGCGCGGCAGAAGCACGGCCGGCCGGCCAAGCTGCTTGCTGCTATCACAAGATCTGCTTCAGTTCTGCACCTGCATCCATGCATGCACTGGCAAGCCGCTCTCCTTGTGGCGCAGCTCAAAACTGGCGGCAGCGCCGTCAACAACGGGCTGTGGCGGCGGCACCCAGGAAAGCTTGCTGGGCAAGCTGTATCGCGCAGTCACCCGCAATGAGTGACATCAAGAGTTTCCTGAAGCTCCTGCACAGCTGCAGAGCACCACAAGCCTGCACAGGGGTGCGTCCCCGAAACCGTGGTCCTCGGTTTGATCTTTGAGCGGCTTCAGCTTTGAAGGGCGTGCTGCAATTGCACTACCTGCGCCACAGTGGCCAAAAGAGGCCGCAGTGGCCAGATTTCGCCCGAAAACGCCGCCTTTCCTCCCGGCCCAGCCATCCCATCGGCCAACTTTATCCCCTCCGCCCCCACACGCAACGGCATCCCTCGCTGCACAGCTGCACCCCTCGTTGCTCTCACAAGTAGTTTTCAGGCCGTTGGGGGCGATACACGCCAAGCTCGTTGCCAGCCAATTGGGCACCAGCTTGTCGGGCAGCGCCTAGCCATGCAGGACGTCGCGGCTCTGCAGGGGGGCATCAGGGTGCCCTTTGCGGCCGCCCGCTCCCCCTATGCCGCCGGCAGGCGCCTGGGCCTGGTCGACCGCCCCCTGCAAGCGCAGTGCAGGCGCCTCAGCCTGCGGTGCGCCGCGGTGGCGGAGGTGGAGTCGGATGTAGAGAAGCGCGGTGAGCTGCCGGCGCCCAGCCGGATTGCCAGGCCGCCCCTTGCTGGCGGCGGCGGCAGGCGGCAG